TGCCACGGGCCAAAAATAAATATGTAAACAATGCTCATTTTTCTTCCTACGAACAAGCACATTGCACACGATGTCCAACCACCCCATCAACACAACTACACAAGTATGTTCTTCTCTCTATTCCGACAAACACCACACACCCTTTTAGCCGCTCTTTTCCATCCAACTTTTTGTCCATCACCTTATGTGTCCATACATCATTCATCATCTTAATCTATTGCCCCTTTAATATGCATTTAGCTTTCATGCCGTTATTTTATTGTCTCACTTTACTATGTACGTCGTGCAACATGGAACACCCCAATGGTGAGAGATTAAATAAGGTGCCATATATGGACATGGAAACATTATTTCCACCATATGTTCATTCAGAAGTTGATTATGAATAATGTTGTGTTTGCTTCCAGCCTCCACACGGGCTCTTCTTCCATCTCCATCAAAGATGTGTCTCCATCACTTCACCTCCCCAAGACTTTTTATGTAACTCAAATATACATACAACAATGTTGGATATCCATTTCGTATTCCACGAGCCCTCCTGCTTCTCTTTTGTCATTGTGTCACCGTTCTGCCATGTCAGCACCCTACTCCAAAATTTGCCTATGTTTTCACTCTGCTCCAAATACTCCCGTGTGTTCTCCTCCTGCCATTACCCCCTACCACCATCGATCACACGGTGTCTCCTCACACAACGGGCGAGGGCTATGGTGCCTCCACTTGCATGAGGCAAACCCTGGCGGGCATGAAAATGTATCCAACATGCCTATGCATCTCGGTCGTTAGATAGCAAAAAATAATCATGTATTTCATCCACGAATTAATACAACAAATAAGAAACTATCCGAGGTAATCACAACAAGGTCCTAAGTTTTCCCCATGGACATAGCGAAAGAACCTAATCACTTGAAACCTAGACCATACGATAAACCATCACCTACAACAAACCGGGGAATCATTTGTATAGCCCTCTTACAGTAATAGTTGGATGCCCATGCATTACCACAGAACACGAAACTTAAAACATCAAAACCAATGATCAAACAACATGTATGTCACATGCGACCTATGACCTGTCGTGATAAATATCACCTTGAAGCACGTCCTTGCTAGTACATCATTTTCTATATGAACTCTGTTGTGATACATTACTAAGATGTCGTCCTTTTCATGACCTCTCTATGCCTCTCAACTCCCCATCTGGCCCCATCGATGTTTTTTTCTCATCATATGCTTCACCCTGCATAACATTGCCATCTTAACCAACAAGAATTGTATATGATAATGGATGTTAGTGCATCAAGTGGCATAATCCCACAAGGTATTTGCTAGGGTGGCACTTCCAACAAAACACATGGCACATTATAAATTAATATCAAATAATTGTAGTTATATATTCACCTAGTCACTTATGCTACCAGACAACTATGATCAACAAGGAATGTGCATGGTTAGTGCTACAGATAATAAAATGATAAACGTTGGACACATACACAGAAAATTTATATCGTTTGAGGAAGGCAAAGGTTGTTTAAGTATCATCAAGCATGTCAAGATGACATCAATACAAATATCCATAATTTGGTCCCAACACCCATTATCTTTCACACATAGGCGTATCATTCCATTTATAGATAGGAGAGAATACAAGTTTTTGTGTGGTTACCCCAAAGACGTGCACAACGAGAATGGCGCCTTCAGGGTTACCGATGAGAATATGAGAGGGGGTTGCTCAGCCTCACCAGAAGATGATCAGGTTACAGGGATAATTCTATCTAGTCCCTTGACGCCAGCGCGTGCCCAACACATGGCTTCGTCCTTGATGGTGCTAAAAAGGTGTGAGTTGGACGGTTGCAAGCCATCCAAGATGGCTGCATTCCTGTGCTTCCAAATGAACCAATCTGTGATGATCACGAGAGAGGCAAAGCCCTTGTGCTGCTGAGGCGAGGCCACGGCGGGCCACTCCAGCCACCAGTCGAAGAAGGTGGTCTGGACGTCCGGGATGGGCGGCAGTAGTCGACACCAAGACATGACCTCGTGCCAGGTGATCCTCGAGAAGACACAATCAACGAGGAAGTGTTGCAGGGATTCTTCTTCCTTAGAGCATAAGCAACAAACGGGTGGGTGCTGAAGACCATGCTTGGCCAAGCGGTCCGCCGTCCAACAACAGTTTTGCGATGCAAGCCAGAACTTCACATTTAGCGAAGCCTAGCTGCGCCAAATGATCTTCCAGAATGACGTCGTCGTGGATCCAAGGATGGCGAATATTATGAGACCTTAGCCAGAATATGAAGAAAAATTTAATTGATCATTACACATCATTTTCTAGTAGACCCTATTTTCAAGAAGCGTTGTGGCTGTTTACACTGAGGTAATATCTGGATACTATAACAATGTACAAAGCAGACCTCAAACTTAATGTAAGTTAAATATAGTATTAAAAACACAAGAAACAGTGATAGAAATTATACTCTTGTTTACCTGAGGTATTAATAAGCCTGCATTCGCAATTCTAACCTTGAAAGAAAGAACAAAGAAGAAAACAATGGGTGGACCATGAGAGAGTAACATAAAAGTGATGTACCACAACTTTCAAACATGATATGTAGAACCTAATAGTAGTTGCCCACAAAGGCAAACTCGGTAGTGTACAGAAATGGTCAAATGACCATAATCAACTAATCAATAACCAAGACAAAAGAACAAAGTAAATCAGTTACAAACTTCCTAATTATTACTGTATGAGTTATGTTTGGTTAAAGCTCATGGTCCTGTGTGCTACAAATAATGACATGTAAGAGACCATTAAAAAACACAAATACTTAAAAGATCGCAATCAACCTGTGTACGAGTGCAACCAGTCTGTCTTGTCCCAGAGAGATACCCATGCGCGTACCCAGCTCAATAGAATTTTCCAAAGAAAATATTATACATGAAGACAGCTACTTCTACTTGGTCCAGTCAGTCATGTGTTGTTGGGTATAGTCAGTACTCAATAATCAGCTGAAAAGAAAATGATAACAATCAGGCGCTGAATGGTCGATGGGCCTTTCTTCTATCATAAGACTAACTTTCTTGTATGAAGTTCATATGCGTTTGAATTTTCATGGCGTACCATAGAAGATCAGAAGCTAGTTCTCAGAAAATAAGAATGACAAAACATATACTCAGTTTATTTGTTTATTTATTAAGCTAAGATGCTACTACATGACTAATTACTGAAATAATCAAGCTGCTACTAAAAGTTCAATTGCAAACGTATGACAATCTGGTTTTGGGTCACTCTTCTTTGTGAGACTTTTTTCATGTTAAATTTTCTATGTCTGCCGCTTCAGGCCAAGGTGCTATCCTTCAAACTTGGGTTTGCCATGTGGCTAAGTGTCTTGTCCAGCGGCTCGGCTGCATAGGAGGGCATTCTTGGGGATAAGGAACTTGTCATCCTCTCATTATCAGGAGGTATGCCAATTTTTATAGTAGTATTTCCCAAAGCCGTATTGTAAGTAATTTTAACAAATTAAACACAACCCAATCTTCTCGACTATCAAGCGTTTTCATAAGAGAACATAGTACCCATACCTGAACATTGTACAGTGAAACGCCGTCCCTCAAGTTGTAGATTTGTCTACTTGACAGCAACCATTTTCCTCCATTCAGTCTGCCCAAAATTTAGGATTCGCTCAGATTCAAATCACGGAAAGCAAAGCCACAAAGACAGGAAATCGCTCCCATATACTTGAAACAAAGGTCGCGCATATGCATACCCAACGCTACCACAGGGAATCAAATTCAGTTGCTCACGAACTTCATAAGATGGCTAGAATGTATGGTAGTTGTGAGTGGATGGAAGTACTCCTAGCTAGTGAGCTGCTTCCCCTCCTTTCATCTGATCTGATACTAAATAAAGAGGGGTTTCAATTTCAAAAATTAAAAAATAACAGGGTACTAATTGTTGGGTGGGCGGGGGAGGCGGAGGCGGTGTAAACTAACTGTCGGTGCTCTCAAATGATTTTTTTTAACTTTGAGCTGATGATCATTTTTTTGTGGGAACTAATAATAGTAGTTTACACAAAAAATAGTACTTTACATATCAAACAGAATCTGAGCCAAAATCATAAAGTCCCTGCTGAACCCTGTGTTCAAATCAGAACTGACACGAGACATCAATGATCTGAAAATACCTATGAGACGCCATGGCATGGCTTAGACTAACGGTTCCAGATACTATCAGTAAGAAAAGAGATGTATTATAACATTACCTGACCAACAGTTCCACAAATAAGCTGTACATGACTGACAGGTGCAAATATACTACCTCTTATATTTAGCAACAGAGGGTGTACAATAAAATAGTAAGAAACAACCTTCTTTTACGCCCAATATACTTTCGTTTTAGAAATGCACTCCATATTGTTAGTTGAATCACCTTTTAAACATGCAGAGATCATAAATGCTAGTAGGCTAATATTTCCTTGCGGCTCGGCTTCTGTTGTTTTAAATGACAAATATGAAGTCATTTTATTGGCTGGGAAATTTTATGGCAGTCTGAAATGACTCATTTTACATCATCCCTTTATCTGCAATGATCTAAACTCCTTTTGCTGAAACTCGTAGCAAGATGGTAGTCTGAAATTCATATGAATAAGGCAATGCTCTAAACTCTATTTGCTGAAATTCATAGGAACATGTGTATGCCTCTGCTTACCTTTCATGCATTAAAATAAAGGAGGCTGGTCCAGACGCGGCGGTGATTCTTCCTTACTTCTCGCGACGGTCTACTGCCAGCCACTTGATTCCTTCTTGCCGTAATATTTACTATATATGCACGCACGCGGTGATTCTTCCTTACTTCTCGCGATTCAAATGTTTGGACGAGAGATTTCAGCGCAAGGCAGTGATCCTTGAGTGAGATACGCCAAGGCACGCACGCAAGATGTTTGACAGAAAGTGAAGTTAACGGAACAGAGTAGAAGAGGCACCTTGATACCGGGGAATGACATGCCGAGCTACTCCTCGGGGATGACGACGGGCCACTTCTCCCCGGCCTCGCGGAAGAGCTGCTCGGTCTCGAGGAGGCGGCCGCAGGCGAGGATCTGGTCGCGCATGCCCTGCGCAGTGGCGCCGTCGGCGGCGACGAAGGCCTCCTCGGCACCGTTGAGGTAAGTGACGAGGACGCACGGGGGCGGCTGGGCCTTGGGGTCCTCGGCCGCGGCCCTGATGGCGCGCGTTGTTGTGCCCGTCTATTTTGAATGTTTTATGATAGAGAGAGATGATTTTTCTGTAAATACATGGAGACAAGATAAACTATAGAAAATGCTAAAATAGACTAAAATGGTTTGTTTCATGAATGTTTCCCTTTTTATGAAATATACTCCTGTGAGTAATAAGTAATAACCTGAATTTGTCTGGATGCTCCTTAAGTTAGGATGAAAATTCTTCATCTAAAATGTTGTCGGTATTAACCACACCAAGAGCCAAAACAGGCCACAAACTCTGTAATTTGGTAAGGTCTCCGCTGAACATACATGCTTAGGTATTCATGGTAGGGAGCAACACTGTGTGCCAGTGGCAATCATAACAAGGGCTCCATTTGGATCATTCTCAGATAGGAGCATTATTGGGACCTGGTTACACACAAGAACTACCATGTTGGCGCGCGTTGCGACGCCTGTCGTTTTTCGGGTAAAATGGTAGAATATTCTCTAATTATATGAAGTCATAATGCAGTGAAGTTAAATTCATATAGACTGACTTGAAAAGCTTAACTAAAGGTCAATTTGAATTTGCAGCAGGGCCATGCAATGCCATATGTCATGGACATGCACACAAATTTAATCTTTACATGCACCCTTAATCATACAATGAGGCTTCAACGATTGAGGGCACCCAATTTAATTTATCTGGTCAGAGAAAAACTATAATTTTTTTAATGGGTACAACAAACAGACCATCGTCTGATTCTATTTTCTTGCTATTAATTTGGATCAGCTAATTTGTGAATCAGGCTTCAACCAAGTATACTGAAGAAGTGATTTCATAAATGCTACATGTATATTAATTCAAAAAACAATGTTTAAAAGGACAAGATTTAATAGAGAACACATTTATGCTATAAATTTTTCTTTTTTGCTTTCTAAGAGGATTAACTAATTCCAGTATAGTCATGAACTATGTGACAGAATTTGAAAACATGTATGTCAGAAAGCACCTAGAGCTTGGAATCAAAACAAGGATAGGAGATGTGCTTCCTGAAGTCTCGGGAGATTATGGTTGATGAGTACACGAACCGCAATCCCACTTAGCTTGTCGAAGATATGCACCTTGTATTCCTCGGATCTGACCATCATTAGAACACAATAATGGGAAAGCAGTTCAGAAAATGTAGTAGCAGTTTTGGTGCTCTCACTCACTGAAAGTTGTGTGATTTTTATATTTTGCTAAGCCCAATACGACCAAAAAATGAAAGAATGGCAAGAGCTGCAAGTGCACAAGTTTAGCAATGCAGAGTCATGATGCTGCCACTATACCTTGAAAGAGGAGCTTCAAATTTTCCAAAGTGCGCCAACATTTAGGCTGAACCAAACCATCAAAGGAAGGCTATACATAGATAAAACATGTGGATTTCATTGCAAATATATTGTGCAAAATAGCAACTATTTTTATTGTCAGGACGGGCAAGCCCGCCATCAAAGGAAGCACATCACCATACTAACAATATTTTTAACAATATAGATCCTAGTAGTGGCTGCGGGATGGCACAAATGATTCCATTATCCGGTGCATACTGAAATAATCTTCTTCGTCACAATTCCAGTAGCTTTTAGAAGTGCCCCTGGGACCTGACTGCATTTGGAAAATGTCAAATCTTTCATGATAAGATGAAGCCAATATTTAAATTGGAAGGTTATGCTGGAATCAAGATGCCTCCACAAGACGAGGCGCAGAACATACAGAAGGTCAGACAATTTTATGTGTAACCAATTTAAGATCCAAGTCAAATCACTGGCATCAACTTGGTTGCATATTCCAATCTCTCACCAAATGGTGTGGACACAAAGAGAGAACTCATCCTTGCTATGAAGCATTTGAAAATAGCAAATTCAGGATATAGAAGACACTGTCTTGCTCCTACTACTAAACATGACATAGAATGCATAAGAAGAAATGGATGCTTGTGCTATGAAAGATTCAGAAGTACCACTAAATATATAGAAAAAAATAAATGTGATTACTGGAAATTAATTTATAAGTGCGATTACTGTTGTTTCTGGATATAGAAGGTACTGTACAACTCTGTTGTATACTGGAAATTAATTTATAAGTGTGATTACTATTGTTTCTGGAGATGTAGTGGAGCATGATGGCAAAGGGCCTGAAGGGCAGGAGCAGCGTTGATCTTGGCCGTGAGGATGATGATATGACTGATGTTGCTCGTGGGAATAATAATATGTCTTACAACACAATGAAGTTTCTTATAAAAATATACACAATGAAGTGCAAGCAGGCTCTAACCATGATACTGGCAGCATCGGAGGAGGACCATCAGAACTTTGAGGCAGATAGGGTCATCGTCGACGGCCAGGACCCGCATGCCGATTGGGAGCTGATCCCTCTCCCTCTCCATCAAACCCTTCCTGGCCTCCATCATCATGGCCGCCAAAAGCATCCCAATTTACACTAATTGAGAGCAACCTAATAATTGAAAGCAAGAAAAGTCAAGCGCTGGACATCAACACCACCTGAACACAACCTAAATTACTCACGGAAGAAGAGAAAATCAGGGGCAAAAAATTGTAGGTGGGTTTGGATTTCGGCGCACCGTTGGAGAAGACTCATCCACCATGCAAGCAAGTCGACATGCTCGAAGCGGAGTGCCCGCGTCTTCCTGGCCGGAGGAGCCGTGCTGGTCACCATCTCCTCCTTCCCCTCCTAGAGCCCTCGCTCATCCTTTTCCGCCACCTCCCCCATCTGCACAAATCCTAACCTATATGAATCAAGAGGAGGCACCTATTTGTTCACAAATCCGAGACGAAGCACAATTCATACCTCTAGCGCGAGACGAACGGATCATGGAAGATCTTGCCGACGACATGGTGAATTGGTGAATTGCCTGCACTGTTGGCTCGTGATTGGGAGGTGAGATACCCTTTATGGTCGGCGGATCACGGATCGGGAGGTGAGATACCCTTTATGGTCGGCGGATCACGGATCGGGAGGTGAGATACCCTTTGTGGTCGGCGGCGGCGGCGTCGCCTCTTGGAGATCGCGGCGGAGATCCCGGACGTCGGCGACGGCGACTCCTCTCGGAGGTCAGCGGCGGCATCGCCCCTCAGTTTGTCTCCACCGTGCTCGCTCGAGGGCACAATGGACCAGCCACGCCGCAGTCTTGCTTCGATGTTCCTGCGGCACACGTCGGCAGTGGCGGTCCCATACGTGGATGCGATCCCGGCGGTGTCTTCTATGTGATGGTGGCGGCGATCCAGACGGGGGCGACGGTCCAGACGGCAGTGGCGGCGATCCGGAGAAACGGCGGAGGCGGCGATCCGGAGAGGGGATCGATGGAGTGGCGTGCGTTGGTCTTGGGGCGACGGGAGGGGATCGACAGACGTGCGGGTGGGGGGTTGGGGGGTTTATTTTCGTAGGTTTATTTTTGTAGATTTTTTTCACTCCGTTTTTCTCTTGATCGACCGGAGGTTTACTTTCTAGACCTCGCACCGATAATATAGATTTTTTTTTTGTTTCGACGGTTCAGGGGGGAATTGCTGGGAGGTGAGAGGGAGGACAAAAAAACCCAGCGAAAAATAACCGGCGGACTATTCGCCAACTGCTTTATTAGGAATAGATTCTGCAGATTTCTTGGGTAGGGCCGCAGCACAGACGTAGGATAACATGTTAATTTATACACCTACTCGTTAATCACAACCCACCAATTAGGGATTTGATTTGATAACGTGAATCCGTTCGTCAAGATTAATTCGTCAATCTTTATTACTGTATAATCAATTCCTTCCGTTACTGGAGCCGCGCATGCGTGGCTTGATGGTCTTGGGAGCCAATAATAATCGGAACCCATAAATCTCTAACATGCTACTCGTCCCGAACGCCCTCCGAAACGCGAGATGGCTGCACGAATCTTACAGCACACCACGCACGTCAGCTTTTTTTCGTTTGTGAAATAGCAACGCCACCCTGAACGCACTCCGTCACCCATTCCTCCCTCATTCTCTCCCCTAAGCTGCAGAACATATTTTCCTCACTTCGTCACTCACTCCTGCTCCCACTCCAGGACCGAATTAATAAGGATTAATCGTCCTCCGTATGACATGAGCTTACCTTTCCAACAACTCAGTTTCTTCTCAAAACGATCCTCAATGCACTTCCATTCTCTGTTGATCAGCTTACGATGATGAATGGGTATGCCTAAATATGTGAACGCTAAAGCCCCCAATTCACACCCGAACAATTGTTTGTATGCCTCTTCATCATCATTAGCTCTTCCGAAACAGAACAATTCACTCTTGTGGAAGTTAATTTTTAACCCGGTCAATTGTTCAAATAAGCATAACACGAGCTTCATGTTTCGCGCTTTCGCCAAGTCGTGCTCCATGAAGATGATAGTATCATCAACATACTGAAGGATGGAAACACCTCCATCAACTAAGTGCGGAACAAGGCCACCTACCTGACCCGCATCCTTAACCCGTCCTATTAGAATGGTCAACATGTCTACCACTATGTTAAATAGGATAGGTGACATCGGATCCCCTTACCTCAACCCTTTGTGTGTTTGGAGGTAGTTGACTCCCAATTTAAACGCTTATCTTTGCAAAGTGTTTCCTGGGATGATATTTTATACAAATTGTTAAAATATGATTTTTACTACAAGTAAAGATGACTGGAGTTAATCTTTTTAATTATCCAATACCTTGCCAGTGAAGGTATTAGACATATCTTATATGTATCACCTAATTTATGAGAATATTGGGGTATCTGTTGAGAAGTATCAAAATGTCCTTTTGTTATTTGATCATGTACATATATGTTCTGTTGTAACAGTCGCAATGTTGCTTCACTTGATGCTACAGGTTTATGTCTTCATTTAATTTTCACCAGGCGTGGGGAAAGGAATCAATGGTTGCTGTATTTTATCATGTGGGTTATGAACATCCATTGCTTATGACTAGGAGAAGGAAAACTGTTCATGCTTAAAGTTTGCTAATATTATTACGCAAAAACAGTCTGTTCCTTGTACCTGTTTTGCAAGCTGGATTGTACGAAAGAATATATAGAGATGAGAAGATTGTCCATTCACTTATTTCTCCTACAGAAAGGAGCATCTCATGGTTTTTGCATGTTCTTTCCATTGACTGGGCACTTGGTGAGAGGACTCTTTGATGTTATTCTTTCAAGTAAGCTTTATTCAAGTTGCTACTCATGTCACATTGTCTATATTACAGAATACATAGGTTAAATCAATGGTTTTTGCATGTTCTTTCCATAGGGGATTTGAAATACAGGTTCAATTGATCTGTATGTACCAATTCCTTGTGCTTGCAATCATGTATGGTTTTGACCATGCTGCTGCTGGGAAGCTTCCTTCTACTGAGCCAAATTCTATGCTTATTTTATTGACTGTTTATTTAGCTTGTTGATTAGGGGATTTAACGCGGCAAGAATGCATTAATCTTGGCTACCTACAGAGAGTAGCCTGAAATGGCATTGATTATGGAAGAAAGAAAAGGAAAAATTATTTATTTATTGTTATGGTTGGTAGCGATGTATAGGATGGATTGGCTGATGTATAGGTGTATTGATTCGACTTTGCCGTGTTCCATGTTTTTCATTTCCTTTTGTCGATGAAGATTGATTTTTTCAATGCAGATCAAGATTGTAGAATTGCATGCTTGAGTTGGGGCTTGCTATCGGCCTTTGTGATGCGCAGCTAGATTGTAGGATGTACTTGATTGATCTATGAGATGTGTGGCTTGGTGGTGAAGATTTTTTAAGTAATAACGGAACCTTTAAGTTTGGGAAATTTATACTTGTTCATTGTAGGATTACTATTCTGGTAAGCTCACACCTATGTCTCCATCTTATAATTGCAGACGTATTCACCTCATCACACCATCTGTTCTCATCAAGGTACCCATCAGTTCCTAGATGTAAAGCCTTTTTCTTGCGGGGATTGCTGATATAAAGTTTGTCACTCGGCAAAACATTTTTGATCCTAATAAATAGTCAGATTATTGTGCTCGTAGTTTTGCTTCTCTTAACTAGGATCTAGATGTGGTGCATGCTACAGACACCGCCCGGAGGGAGACGCCAGGATTATTATTTATTGGGAGAAGCAGGAGGTAGCAGAAGAGGCAGTAAGCACCTTGACAATGACAGCCGTGACCCGGCTTATTTGGTTATTCTTCATATGTCGCCTAGGTTGGTTTGTGGGAATTGACATGCATTGTTGTTCCATTTTACTGATTTATTTGATAAACATGTGACCATATGAGTAACCTATTGTTCATTTTAGTACCATTTTACTGATTTATTTGATAAATATGTGACCATTTGATAAATAGTCAGATTTGGGAAGCGCATACTGTGCTTTGAACAAGGTGTTGATGTCTTCACAAAAACTGCTCAAAATCAATTATGTGTTCTCTATTAGTGCTCCTGTTGTGGTACCCGTTTTTATCTCTTTGTTTTGCTCCCTCAAATTGTTGGAAAGATGGCTAGCCTATTTCTTCCTTCAGATCATACATATGAGCAGATAATGCGTTTTGATGGCTAGCCTATTTCTTCCCTCATATCATTGTTTTTTTCCTCATCAAACAAACAAAGCATATGAACATCAAAACGCATTTTGCAAGCCTACAATTTGGGAGCTTACGGACCGCCGAGATGCAGATGGAGTCGTTGCGCCTCCGAGTTGCCAGGCCGCTAAGATGCAGATGGAGCCACTGTGCCTTCAAGCTGCCGGGCTGCCGAGATGCAGATGGAGCTGCATTGCCTTCGAGCTGCAGCGGGAGCCACTCCGCCCCCAAGCTGCAGCGTGAGCCGCATTGAAGATGGAGCCCACGGTGGGTCGGCCTCCTCCAGGTACTTTCTCACTTCATGTTAGTACGAGTACATGGAGAGAGGAACAGGACGAAGAACTGGTCGATGGAACCAAGACCAGTAGTCATGCCAGACACGTGGTCGCCGCTGTGCGTCGTGGTGGCTGTTTGCAAAACAACTATTGACGTGTGTTGTTGTCTCTCAGCATGTGTATCTTGAGGCATGATTGTAATTTTCTTTATCTTTGAGGTCTGGGATGTTACTCAAACTGTACTGGTGGAGCTTTTTGGCTTCTGGTTTTAATTAAATCAGGGATGCCCTCCTTGGGTACCTATCAACTTCTTACCTAAATATCTATTTCCTTATGACCCAATCGGTATCGAAATATTTTAACGTGCATGCTCTAAATGCTTAGTTTGCCCTCGTCCTTTGCACCATCGGTGTGGGTACAACACACCCATTGTCAGAACATGGACTGAAATAAGGATTAATGAATAGCTGATAAACAACATCAGTCGAGCGATGCAAGAATATATAACATGAAGGAGATAACCAAAATAGTACATAGAACTGCCGCAAAATGGAAAACCCTACTAC